TATTATTTAATTACTATATAAAGAAGAGAAAAAAAAAAACTCCAATAATCTTGTTATCTGTGAACTTTTCCTTCTAAACAAATAAATTACAGGCTCCTCTGACACCTCGTGTAATTTTGTATGCGATTGTTGAAAACAGAGCTTTAGTGTAACTGGAGATCCTGTGCCCTTGGATTATACGAGTGGAGTAGTAGTATTATTCATCGCTATCATCTCCATTCTACAGTTGTTGACCCACTCCTACTAATCTTTATCCAACGGTTCAAAGTCAATACCAGCTTCAAAAAAGCACTTATCTACTCCTTTGACCATTATGCCCACGCCCCCTCGCTCAACCTGTCCAAACCTTTATTATTATTATTGTTATTGTTTAAATTCAAAATATTATATAATATACTTCCTCTTTACTTATATAATATGATAGCTTGATTAAAAGTAACTCAATTCTTTTTAAATGAATTTTTGAATTTAAGTTTCAAAAATAAAAAAATAAATGTTGAAAAAGTTTTTTTTTTTATGAAATCTGATATATCTTGATTTTAAATTAATTAAAGTTTAATATAATTTTCAAATACTAAAAAATTAAATAAAAAATATAACATGTTAGTAAAATTTTATTAAACTAACAAATAGTCTTGCACCTCAAAAACTCATTAATTTTTTTTCTATCTCAAAAATAGGCAATTATAATTTATTCTACCCAACCTTAAATAAATGATTATTATAAAGTAGTCCATTCTTATCTAGTGGCATGGGCCCTAACTTAGGGTCATTCACCTCTTGTAGTGATGTGTTCAAACCTATAAAATTCCTTTCTATTTTTTTAATTAATATGTAAATAATTTTAATCTATTCAAAAAAAAATAATTATTGTAAAATTGTGATATTTTTAGACAATTTTTTTCAACATGGAGTAGTAAACTTATGTTGGGGCAAAACTGTAATTTACTTTTTATCTCTTTCAGTTCTGTCCCTGGGACAAAACAGCTTTCTTTCAGTTCCCCTCCGCCCTTTTCCCTGCACTGGATTTTTCATCTTTATCCTTTTCTTTATTCTCAAAAATAAGATTCTACCAGCAGGCTGCATGAATTTACACTTTTAACCTACCTTCTTCCATATTAAAGATTTGAAACCCAAGGCCACCTTCGTAATTTCGAAGATTTTGCAAAATAAAGAAAAGAAAATGGAAGAGAGAGATACTTTTCGGAAGCACGTTTCTACCCTCCCCATACCAACTCGTATGCGGCACTGTGAAGGATACAACCGTCTTTTTGTTTAAAATATGATTTGAAACAAACGAGGAGGACATTTTCGTCATTTTAAGAATATAAAGAGAGAGAAAGGGAGACGGAGGAGAGGGAAAGAGAAAGACAGAGAGAAGAAGAGAGGGAAAGAGAGAAGCAGAGAGAGAGCAGAGAGAAACGTTTCTTTGTGTGTCCGTTTTTTCAGTTAGTTAGTGTTATATGAATGAAGGAGGAAGAATGGTGTCGGACCAAGAAATAGCCAAAGGGGTGGAGACGGTTCTCCGGCAGTCGGACCCCACTGCCATCACCTCCCTCAACGGCGTGGTGCAGCAGCTGGAAGCGAAGTTAGGGCTCAACCTGTCCCACAAGGCTGGTTTCATCAGGGACCAGATCAGCCTCCTCCTCCGAGCACACCCTACCAACCAACCACCACCACCTCAGAAGGACCGTTTTGCCCCCCAGCATCAGCCACAACCACAATTCCCTCCCCATCACCAACAACAATTTCCTCCCCGTTTTGCCCTCCAGCATCAGTCCCAATTCCCGTCCCAGGTCCCCAACTTCCCACAGCCGCAGTCTCAGCTTCCTCCGGCTCCTCGTCCAGCTCAGTCGCCGCTGCAAGTTCAGCTTCAGCCTCAGCCTCAACCTCAGCCTCAACCTCAACCTCAGCTTCAGCCCCCTGTCACCAAGCCCGAGGTCTACTCCCATAATGTCGCAGCAGTTGTGGCCCCTGAAGTGCCTAAAGAAAGGTTTAGCATCTGTTTTCTTCTTCTTTTGTAAACATTCCTGCGTTCTAGGGTCCTTTTCAGCTAAAAATGATGTTCATTTTAAGGTTTTGGTTGTGGGAATTTGAGGGTTAGGGATGCAATTGCATGTGTTGTGCAAATGAAGTTGCTTTGATATGGTTGATGGGCTTATCGTCCCAAAGTTGGTGTTTTTATTTTCCTTCCTCTTCTCTTCGCTTGTTTTTTCCCCTATGGGTTATGGGTTGTTTATGTGAAAGAACTAACAAACATTGGTAAAATGCCAATGGGGAAGTATTTTAATTCCGTTACTTAGCTCTCCACATTTTAAAGTTTTAATCTTTTCTAATTTCCCTCTAGATGTAAATTTTGTTTCCAGTTTTTGCAAGAGTCATTACTACATAGCTCTAAGTTGAGGCTTTATTTGGTTAGGGCAAAGGGTTATTGGAGGGACAGGGAACGGTGTAGAAACTAGTTTAAGAAATTCAGCCTTTTCAATGCCACATATTTTTGGGAAAGTTTTAATCTTTGCTGTTAAATACAAGTTGAACCAATGGTAATGGCTATTGGTAGCTGCGATCTGCAGTTCCTCCATTCCTTTGTGCAAATTTACCCTTTTTTTCACATTTGAATTTAGGCAGTAATTTACTCATCTGTCTAAATTTGATTGGAATTGACTGGACATCGGTCATGTCTTCTGATGTTCAAATATAGAATGTGGTTCTCTTGTTCAAGAAAACCTATAAGGAAATATATATCAAGTGATGGTGTGCGGAGTTGTTGAACTTACAAACTAAGGCGAAATACCAAATATGACCTTCACGGCAGTCACTATTGTTTTATTCCCTCTGTGTCACATTGCAATATGTGGGATTATAAGCATAATGGCAATTAATGTGTTTTTTCTTTATTTATAATTTTGTTGCAGTGTTCCAGTTGGAGCTAAAAGAAGAGGTGGCCCAGGGGGGTTAAACAAAGTTTGTGGCGTTTCACCTGCACTACAGACCATTGTTGGTGAGCCAGCGTTACCAAGGACAGAGGTTGTTTTCTCATTAATTAAGATTGTTATGTGCTTGCTCATGTTATTATTGTCTGTAAAAAATGTTATTTATATATTCTGAAATATCCTCTTTGTTCAATCCAGATTGTCAAGCAGCTGTGGGCATACATCAGGAAAAACAACCTCCAAGATCCGAGTAACAAGAGAAAGATAATTTGTGATGATGCCCTGCGCTTAGTGTTTGAGACAGACTGCACTGACATGTTCAAGATGAATAAACTGCTGGCAAAACACATTACAGCACTTGAACCTACAAGTATGTGATTTGTTATACCAAACATGATTTTTGTGCAGAATAACTTGAACTCTGTCCTTCTCTGAGGTCCATCTATAAATAAACCTTGCAAATCTTTGCAGAGGAGTCAGCTCAAGCAAAACGAGCAAAGGTAGAGGTTGAGTCCACAACTGAAAGTATTGAACATGGTGCCTCTCCTGTGATAATATCTGATGCACTTGCCAAGTTTTTGGAAACTGGTGAAAGGGAGATGCTTGCAACTGAAGCAGAGAGACTCGTTTGGGAGTACATTAATGTCAACCATTTGGAGGTTTGTAGCTATCTTACAAGTTTGTGCTATTCCTTTTCTGTAATTTTTTAAGTTCCTTTTAGCAGCTTTGTTAATTTGCTTTTTTGGTGGCCAATGGAATAAATACATGGTATTTTATATTCTTCTGTCCGTCTTTTCAGGATCCTCTAAATCCAATGGCGGTAATATGTGATGCTAAGCTTCGTGAGCTTCTTGGATGTGAAAGCATATCTGTAATGGGGATACACGACTCATTGCTCCGCCACCACTTATTGAAGCGCTCCTAGTTTATGGTTAGTGTTTATTGGTTAGTATAACCTCTGACTGAGCTTATTCCCAAACTCACAAATACTAGCACATATCTGCATGTAGACACTTCCTCTGCCTTAAAAACCTTTTTTGATCGTAGGAACCTTGAAACCATTCCTTAACTATCTTACCTTATATATCTTTGCAATTTGGTTCTCTTTAATGAATATATCTTTGTGTTCTAGTCGTAGTGAATTTTTCTTATTTTATGCAGGTGCATGGGACCTTAGTCACTTACGATGGGTAGAACAGATAGTGAAGGAACCCCTATTTACCTCTATGTTATGTTTGTATGCCTTGACTTGTTTGGCTGATATATGGAGTACCAAACTAGCTTTGTTTGTTAATGATCAGAATGAAAATGCTCCTTGGGTCAATGGCAAGGATGTTTTTTTAGTGATGTCATTAGCCCAGGATTTAGGTGTAATTTGTTTACTTACCGTAGGCGTGCCCTTCCAATGCTGAACCTCCGACTCTAGAGAGAAGGAAATGGCAATGGAAATATCAAGACCTTTAACCTTGCAGAATGACAAGTACATGTATCTTTTTAGAATGCTTCTACTGTTGTAACTTTTGAGTCTGTTTGACACTAATGTTTCAGTGTTGTTATGAATGAAATTATGCTCATGGATTAACATAGTTTAATATTGCACAATTACTCTAGATATTGTCGGTTTTCATTTCTGGTTCCTTAAAAATAAATCTCAATTTCAAAACCCAATGTATCGATTGAATCAAATATACATGAACATATGTGGAACGTGAACATTTTAGTACAGTCCAGGCTTCGAGAAAAATAGAATGATACCCATAAACACAACAGCAAGGATAACATATACGACCCTTTTTTTACTGCCTTGGGACGTTGTTATTGAGGTTATCTTGTCCATTGTAGCCACCAAGAATCCCAGTATTTTCTGAAGATCAAGAAAAGTACAAGAGTGGTTGGGAAATTAAAATCAGTTGATTCAAACATTGACACAATCAATTTTGAGGAGTTCGAATTCACTTACTAGCCTGATGGGATCAATATGAAGTAGTGGTTCCAAGAACATCCCTACATTCCTGCAATTTTGATCCAAGAATTAAGATGATATTGTTGAATTCAGTTCATAGAAATCACAGAAGGGAAGGATGAAGACAGACCTGATCATCACATTCCCCTTGTAGACATGGCAGATATGGAAACTGAAACCCTTTCCCAAAGGCACATGTGTCGTTTTCCAATCTGCAGAATAAGGGAGGAAGATCTATCATGCACAAGAAACTTCAACACAAAACTCTACCATTCGAAGCCTTCTGCTTACCTAGACTCCATTGGACGCCAACCTGCATCCCATCATGCAATGTCGGTCTCACCACAAATTCGATGTGATTACCCAAGTATGCAATCAGAGAACTGAAAAATTCCAGCACTTGCTGCAAAAAGAAAACATCTTGATTGATGTCATGCGATTGAAAGAAATCTGGATACTGTTCTTTACTGAATACGTACCTTTTTCCCATGAAAAGGTTGGAAGAAGGAGACGAAACTGCACACACACACGCATTCATCGGCGATGATATCAGACAATTGACGAACATTTTGGTTCTTGATTGCAGAGTAAAGCTTGAGAACTGTTTCTAGAGCTCTGTGATCCTCCTCTCTCGATCCTGAACTCTTGGCATCAAATGGCACTATAGATGAGCCTGCCTGTCGTGAACCCCATCTCTCCGGCATCGAAGACTTGTGTAATTTTCCTGGAAAACAAGCTGATTTGATCCCATTTCTAGGAAAATTTCTTGTTTGGGAGAAAATTGGGAGGGAATTTGATGGTGTTACAGAGTAGTACAGAGATGAAGGGAAGGAAACTAAACCCATTTTAGAAGATTTAATAACGAGATGGGTTTAGAACTCAGCAATATAAAAATAAAAAATGAGGAAACGAAGATTTTTATAGAAAAAAAGATGAAAAGTAAAGCAAGATTAATGTAGGAAAAGAATAAAACCATGGCGCCATGTTTGAAGCTGCAAGTTAAGAATATTGCAACAGAGTGCATGAAGAAGACGAAACAAACGGCGTCGTTTGCGTTATTTCATTAGATTACGTAATTAACCCCATAGGTTTACAGAAAAAGATAGATAGGTCCCCCCATTTCTGCCGATTGCGCGAATAAGGCGGGACCAAGGGAGAAACCGAGACAAACACAGCAAGATCGGAGCTATGGCGGAAGATCTGGTGCTCGACACGGCGATCAGAGATTGGGTGCTGATACCGCTGTCAGTGGTGATGGTCCTCATCGGCATCCTCCGCTACTTCGTCTCCAAGCTCATACGCTCCTCTCAGATTCCCGATCTCAAGATCGTCAAAGAAGGGTACGTATCGGCACAGTAAAACGTATATGATGATGATCGCATATATGGGTGAAAAATCTCCGATTCGCTTAATTTGATTCTTGTTTTGTTAATTTGGCAATGCAATTGTTTGTTTCTTAGGCAGGTGATTGTTAGGGCTCGGAACTTGCGTGCTGGTGCTAATTTTATTCCTCCTAAGTCGTTTCGCTCTCGCAAGGTTTACTTCAGTAATGAGGTATGCTCCTTTTCTGTTCTTCCTTTCTCTTTCGGCTTTTGGTTGCTAAAATCAATAATGATGTTACTAGCAATGAGTTTGTTGTACTTGTTTCTATGAACTTAATTACTAAAAGATTAATCTTTCTTGTAATTTTAATATCAAGCTGATAATAGAAAGAATTAACTCAGTGTATTGGATCAATTAGTGCATTAACAATGCATAATAAAGTTTGTAAAATTTAATAAATTTTCACATCACCAGATTACTCAATGTTTATAAGTTGTGTTGTTCTTAAATTACTGTTCACTCAAATGAATTGAAACTGAATTGAAGAGAGTAAAGACCTATTGAATTTTAGCTCACGGTACAATTTAAGGAGCTCTGGAAATACATAATTTATCCAAAAAGGAGAAATTTAAGGTATTTATATTCTAATTTGGCAGGAAAATGGGTTACTTCATGTTCCTAAAGGTCAGGCTCAAAATGTACAAGCACAAATGTTCTCTGATCCTAATATGGCTATGGACATGATGAAGAAAAACCTCTCCATGATCATTCCTCAGGTGATTTATGGTGCTTGGGTCATTAATGTTAGTTGTTTTGGCTTAAGTTCTCTCTTTAGAGATTTAACGTTTGTTCTGAATCTGTTGTTGCTGCCAGACTCTAACATTTGCATGGGTCAACTTTTTCTTCTCTGGATTTGTTGCAGGTTTGTTTCTTTACCACTCTGTTACTTCAATGATTGAATTTTTTTATGCTAATCCTGGACCATTTATTTTATACTTTTGCAATGTTGTGACATAATGACATCTCTTTTTTGTTGGTCTCAAATCTCATCTAGATTGATCTTCACATTGTTTGAGATGCTTGATTATTGAGTTTACCATTCCTTGAATAATATGGCTGCCTTTCTAATGTTTTCCTTTACTTTTCTTTCAGCAAAGATACCCTTTCCTCTGACTCAAAGGTTCAGAGCAATGTTACAGAATGGGATTGACCTGAGCACCGTTGATGTTAGCTATGTTAGTAGTCGCTCATGGTACTTACTAATTTTGCATGGAAGAATCTTTTTTTTTTTTGGTTCAACTTGTTTAAATAAGTTAATATAGCCAATTATCAACCATTACTTTTATTACCAGGTACTTCCTCAATTTGTTCGGATTGAGGGGACTTTTTAGCCTCATTCTGGGAGAAGAAAATGGTAAGTCTTGGATTATGAATTTCAAGTAATTTTGCATTTTTCTTGGCCTAATTTTCCATATTGATTTTCTTTCAAAATAAAAGCATTGTGGCCGTTATCAGTACAATAGTAGTTTCCCAAGTTCTTTGTTTAATTAAGTACTCTCTTATACTTTACCAAAAAAAAGTACCCTTTAGATGTCATTATATGATTTCTTTTATGCAGCTGTGGATGATACACAACGTATGATGCAAATGGGTGGATTTGGCTTTGATCCTACAAAGGTTAGTTCTCTTTGCTCCTTCAACTGATCTTTTCATCTTTTTACAGAGTTCTACCCCCTTAAATAATTTATGCTCAGAAAGGGACATTCATAGGTATCCAATAGTAAACAAACATTTTGGCTGCTTAAATCAATGTCTTTTAGGGAGACTCGCTGTTTCAGCATCTCAATAACCATAGACAGGTAGGAAACCTCATGCTATTATTGAAGTATCTTTGTAAGATTTCTCTCCGGTAGATAATGTCTCTTTAGTAGTATCCTGGAAGTGGCATGGAGTATGTACTGTAGAGTAGAACTCATAGGATCTTGCTTTGGCTATATAGCACTGGTGGATTGTAGCAGAGAAACCTTGTGCTCAAACTTATGACAAGACTTAATGATGAGCAGCTAAATTTTGTGGTGTGTTATCCACTCCACCCATGTCCTATTCTTGGCTTACAGTTCCAAGAGATTTTAGCTTAACTTGGATACTTGCAGAATGGAGATGGTTTTATGTTTTTATGTTAAGCAACTGAGTCTGGGGTATTGTTTTAAATTAACTGCAAGCAAATTAACAGATAGTTGCACAAGTGTCTTGTTATTTGTATTAATAAACGATCTTTCCAGCTGCCTCTGGTGGGAAAGAGTATCTCGCCATCTTACCTTCCTGTTCCTGGTGTTAGCATTTTTTGTTAAATGTATACCAAAAAAACATTCTTTGTTGTGTGATGTGTATCATGTCGTAGAGAAATGTGGAGAGATGCATCCTATTCCCCAAGCAAAAAGTTTTGCTATTACTTTCACAAGAAAATTCTTATTTGAACTTCCTAGCTTAATGATGGTTTATCACAAATATTATTGTCTTCCTGGAATCTAGGAGATAAAAGTTTCCTAAGCTTCTTTGCCAAAGGAACAAAATGATGGCAGTTTCCATTGACCGACCCAGTAGGGGTTCACAATATGTGGTTGTCCTCACCACGTCAATTTGTAAAACATTATCAAGGGAAAATTGGTCATTCTGTTTCCACAGTCCATGGGTTTGGAGCTTGGACCCAAAGTTTCCTTTTCCTGTTAAAGCATTCCACTTAAGTGCCATCTTTTTTTCCCCAACTGATGGTTATGCCATACCTCACTCTCTTGTTCTTCACCTTTCATGTATTTAAATCTTTCTTTTTGAACAAATGTGCTTGTCTTTTCTTTTTTAACATATAATTATGAGCTAACCATCTTTCAAGGCACATGGCTTACTTTTTCTCCATAACTTTAAAAAACCTACTATATTTTCCTGCTGCTGAGAATCCATCCGCTTTAGCTGGTGGTCTGCCTTACATTCACGCAGTTTATACTCACTTCACCTTTCATTTGTCATCTGGTTGAGTCAAACACACAATGATTAGGGTCTTATGCATTTCAAGTTCACTGAATTGAATCAAGGATCTCAAGTGTAGTGGCAGTGCTGCTGCCTTGGAAATCATTTTGTAATGTAGAAAGCACCTTGAAAAGGTTTTTTAAATAACCAACTTTGTTTGTTTCTCCATTCAAGAAATTTGCTTTCATCCTTGCAGAGCTTGAGCGCTGAGAAAGACAGTCTGGATATAATTCAGCATGAGTGGGCCCTCCCAAAATTTGAGCATCATGCTGAAGCAGTACTGAAGAAACTCATCAGCTGAACATGGCCAACATACAATCAGCTAATTACTGAGTTAAGCTCAGGGTTGTTCTTGAGATTCTCATTCAATCTCACTGGGATTCAGCCTTTTTGACCAATGAAGCTGATATAACGTCGCAAAAAATTGCACAAACTTATAGACACCAGTATTTAGGCTTTACTTTGTATTCAGCTTCTGTTACCACCATGAAGAAGATTGGTTCATGTCGTGTTATATCTTCCTGCCCAAGGGTGAGAGATATTACCTTTTTCTGTGACTGTCGGATAAATAGTTAAAGTTCAGGGACACGGAAAGAGCGGTAATTGAAACATATTGATTGATAGGTGACATTTTTATGACCTTTATCTTTGAGATTTTGAACGCAAAATTGATGGCCATCAAGTATTTACTGCCCTCTGAAAATTTCATTTCAAGACAACATAAACATCACAGGTAGACGAGATTTATAACTTGTTTGGTTTGAGAGAAGAGGGGGGGATTTTCCTTAGTTTGCCTTTTTTATTTTTTGTATTTTAATCTAACTAAATGAGGGGAGGGAATTTATTGCCCTCAAACAGAACAGGGGGCTAGTGATGGCCGAAACTTCAGGAAGTTAAAAGCTAGGTATGAATGTCCTGTAAAAGGCGCACCTAATAATTTCCTCGTCTTCCTTTTGTAATGGACCAGGTAACAGCAAAAGAAAAGAGAGAAGTCATTGCTAGCTAAAGAAAAGAAAAAAATGAAAAAGGGTAGGCCATTGTCGACCTGCCATGGAAGTCCTTATTCAAGCACTCAAATAATCAATGCATTTTTTTTCCCCCTAAACTTTTGGCCGAGTGATTTGAATCATTGAGGAGGGTCCTAAAGAATGTCAAGGTTGAACAAATGGCCGTAGAGAAGCAACTGTTTATCTTATCAGCATCTTTCATCCATACCCATCGATGTCCATAACTCTGTCCATAAATCAATAGGATGTAACCAAACACTTAAGAACATCAGACTAGGTTGTCCAAGCACCAACATTTCACATCCCCTGTTCGCCTGTTCCCATTTTGGCACTCTAACTCAAACCTTCATGATGGGGGACTGGGGGAGGACCCGGAGGAGGAGGGGGCCATCTTCACCATCCTACTTTCCATAATCTTTGGTTTTCCCTTTACAAACCATATGATATATGCATGAGTGTCCATTAACAATGCCTTGATGAACCACAGCTTTAGTTTTTGGAGGCTTCTGGTTTGAAAAGAAAAACACTATTACTTGTCGTTTAATTTACCTTAAAATGATATGTATCTGTGAATATTTTTAACCATACTTTAAAGTTACTCTCCGACTCCATTAATAAAAACAGTTTAGAATGACTATTAAGACATTATTATGCATGGAAATCAATTCCATCATTATAAAGGGGTATATTAACATTCCAGAAGATTCCAATTTTATATTTCTTAATATTTTGATTAATCTCTTACTGACAAGAGGAAATAAGGACGCAAGGACACATTTCAATTCAGCTCCAAAATCGATGTTAAATCAATTATGCATTGAAATCTATTTATTTAGGTACAAAATTCTTAGTAGAATGACAAAAGTACCCTAGAAATTTTAATGTGCATATGAAAGTATCAAAGGGTATTTTCGGGGCTAAAGCATGGAGGTGGTGGGGATGCTGACGTGTAGGGTGGTGGTAATATACGAGGACATGATTAGAGGCGTGGCAGATCGGACGGCTGCAAGTGGGTCCAGTGTCACGAGCGTTCCTACCTGGAAAGCATCGGCAAGTGGACCCCAAAAGCATTCATCTTTTAGGAAAGGAGTTCCCCAAACGCAAACTCCAACCATGCGAATCAAATCAGAGGAAAGGAAAAGCAAGCCACGCCATCATTTTTTTTAAAAAAAAAATTTTTTCCTTTTTTTTTTAATTGAAAAAATGCTTAACTTTGCTCCTGAACTCTCACAAAACTATCAATTTAACTCCTAGAGTAATTTTGTTGTTTATAATAGGCAATGTAAATTTGTTATTAAGTTCTCATAATTATGGAAACAACATAAGTTTGGAGTTGATGGAAGTGATCCCAGTAGACAAGGATAGTTAAATCCCTAAGGAAATGGACTCGGGTATTTAAATTCTTAATTTTTCAATTTCAAGAGTTTAAATAAATCATGAAATCTTTGTTATGATTTATCATTCTTATCAACTTCAAGAGATCAAGAAAAATTAATTTTTAAAATTTTTAATTTTAATAGAAATGACTTTTAAAAAATTTTTTTTAAAAAAATTTTTATTTAAAAAATATGAAAGATACCCAACTCCTTAATTTAATAGGTGTTTGAATTAGTTATTTTGATATAATTAATAGTTGTTCTTCAATACAAAAAATTATTTCTCCTCTCACAAAGAAATATGACTCACATTTAATTTAAATTTTTATCACTATATTATGTACTCGTCCCACATGATCCTCTAATCTATCCTTTTTCTTTATTTCTTTATTTTTGATGGTCCTCTATTAACGTTGGATCTATTCATGTTTGTTTTGCAAAATATGATGGATTTTTTTATAACAAAGTTTACTCTAAGAGCAAACTTGATAATTTTATGAAAGTTGAAGGGCGTGCATGGTACATTTTAATTTTCGATGTGGGCCCTTGTAATGTCCTTGAAAAGTGGGCCATGTGGGGGCGGCGATTAAGATTAAACGGTCATGATCGCAGTTGGTGTGTGGGCCCGAATTTCCACCGACCATTTGTTTTCTTTTCTTCGGCTCACCTCCATATAAATACCAATTTCCATCAATAACATTTAAGACGACAAAGCAAAAGGGTTATTTTATTTTATTTTTTAAAAAACTTAACAATTGCTAAAATTTTGACCTAAATAGTAAAAGTGGTCCTTATTTTCCCCCACTTAATGGTAATTAATATCATGCCCTCCTTTTTTTTTTTTTTCTTTTTAGTCATTCTTTTGATATTTGATAATTACATTGGATTTGATTAATTTAAAATCGAGTTACATTAAACTTCATATGGGAGAAAGCTCTTTCAGCATTTATTTCTTTATTTATAAGACTCAAACTCGAGAACTTATTTAAGGGAAATCAAGCTCCTTATTGGCCTTTTTTTAATTGTAAGAAAGTTAGATGCTTTAACCCAAAGTCAAGATTAAATAATAACTTTAAATTAATAAATATTAATTCAATTAAATTCTGGATGGTTCATTGACCCTTTTTAGCTTAAAGCTATGTTAATTATGTATTCTCAATGACTTTTGAAAAATAATGTGTATTATCAAATAAGGTAGCCTTTTAATATGATGGTGCCCCATCCTTTTCAATTTTTAATTTCCTTTGCTTTATTATGTATTTTGACAATAAATAATGAGAATTTGGATTGCAATTTAATGACCATCCATGAAAAAGAGTTTGCAATTGCATTTTTTGTGTGGTCGAAAACCGCAGTTTGCATTTGCTTATTGTAATGGCTTCAGATGATCTCAACTTGTCAATTCGAAAAAAAAGAAAAAAAAAGAAAAAAAAAGAATACCATTTAAACTTTTAAATGGTATTTATATCATGATTTGTTTATTTTATTTTATTTTTTTTGGACGATCAGGGTATCATAATTTATTTTAAATATGATATTAAGAATCAAAGATAAAACAGGGAATTGAATTTAAGAAGGGATCAAAATAAGCAAAATTACTTTAGTAAATTTTAGTAAACAAAGTGTAAATGGGGGAACATGATGGCATGATAGTCACTAAAAAGAGGGATATGATGCTGATATGAGAAATGGCCTCCCCATATGCAATTGCAAAATCATATTGTTTTATTAATTAAATTTTTTTTATAATAATACTTTATAAAGAAAGCAGAAACATTTACAACTAGACAATGGTAATATGATGCCCTCGAACCATGTCACTGGCATTAGGCGCCAAATTGCTAAAGATTCTTCACTTGCTTCTTTAATTAAATCTATTCCATTATTGACTCCCCCCCTATATATACCTCTCACATTTCATCAATGTCTTCACTACACTCACTACTTCTACTCTTTGCTCCCTTTGTTTATATATTCATCTTTTCTTTCAAAATCTCAATCCTCCTAGGCCTTCTTTTTTGCTTGATTCCCAAATGGCCAGTGTTGAGGTATATATGCCTATATGGTGTTTTATTCAAACCCCTTTAGTTTATATGGGCTTTTATGATTGATCGTTCCCTTTTTTGTGTTCTTCATTTTCTTCCATTTGATTGGTAGAATAATTTCAGTATGGATCTAGATCAAATCATATGTTATGTTTATAATCTGAATATGATCAAGCTTTGCAACAAACCATGCATTGTTAACAATAACATAAGAATTTTATGTGAAAATTAGGTCCCTTCCTTTTCTTTTCTCTCCCATCATTAATGATATTTCCAACCTGAACTAACATGTTTTTTTACGAGCCCAAACTGGAAATCCCTTTTCTCTTTGTTGAATTTAGAGATCTTAATTCTACTTTTTATTGAACAAAATCTTGTTTCTATCTAAAGTGATGAATCCATCTTCTGCGATTTTTTTAGTCTTCCTTCAGTTATTTTATGCTCATGATGATCAGCTTGCAAATTGAATGAAATTGAAAAAGAAATCCATTGATGGTCTTGTAATCTTGTTCTTTTAAAATGATATAATTTTCTGGCTTTTGATTTAAGGTTCAACAAACTGCAACAACATTGCCAGAGAATGAGACACCAGAAGTGATCAAAACAGAGGAGACTCCCAAAGCAGAGCCAGTTGCTGAAGCACCAGCTGCCGTTAAGCCAGTTGAAACAGAACTAATTGAAAAAACCCCAGAAGTGCCAGCTGCGAAGGAGGCTGAGGCCCCTGAAGCTTCAGTGGAAATTGAAAGAAAGGATGTTGTAGAAGAAGCCAAGGTTGAGGAGGAAGAGGAGCCAACTGTAGAGGAGACAGAGGAAGAGGCTCCAGAGGTGAAGCCTACAGAAGTAGAACCAGTTGCTCAGGGGACCAAGGAGGAGACAACTGAGGCTGCTGTGGAGGAGAAGGAGCCAGAGGAGGAAACGAAGACAGTGGAAGCAGAAGGTGGTGTAGAAATTCCTGTTGAGAAGCCTGAGGAGTAAAAGAGACTAGACAAGGTGTCAAATGTGGCTAGCCTATTTCAGCTTCTATATTTTTATATTATTGCTATTTTTTTTTTCTTATCTATATTATGATAAAGATATGAATGGGGTTTTCCATATTTCATGTTTGGAAGCTAGGGTTTGATTTTTAAGCACTCGGGTCCTCGAGGTGGAGGAAATTCAGGGTTTTATGTACGGGGGAAGTTATGAATGTTTGGGTTCGAAGAGGATCAAAGATGAGTTCGCTTTGGTGTGATGAGCCTTGAGGACTATATATGTCTTTGTGTTTCAATAATAAAATACTTTTATATTTATTTTTGTTTCGAAATTGTTTTCATTCCATTTTACTTTGTTCCCAATTCCGAGCCATGTTTCTCCTTCCTTTCGTTTTAATTTCCATTTTTCATGTGGGGAAGAAAAACAGATAAAACCAAAACTTTCTATCATAAACTAAACATGGACATCTGATGACCAATAATAAACTAGGTAATGACAAGGTATTTTTTTAGCTTAGATTGCTCTTTTTTTGTGTAGTTCAATTTATTAAAGTATTAAAATGTCTTTAATGAATAAGAGTCACTAAGGGTATTTAAATACTTCCGTAACCAAAACTGCATGCAATCCAAACTAAAAATGACTCCAGTAAAAAAAAAACTTGCCACTTCTTTCCCAGAACCACCACATGAATACTAGCAATTTGGCTTGAATTCTACTTACGATGAATTATCATCATATCAAGGGAACTAGCAAATTGGCAGAAAGGAACTTGAATTCAACTAGAGTTTAAATTTGTTTGGATGACAATGTTCCATGTTCAAATAATCCCTACTTCTAGTATGGGTTGCCATTGCAAATAAAGAACAAGATTTATTTTCAGGTGAACATTCTACAGCATAACCTAAATCTTATGATGATATATAAATCTAAATAAATGATTATACACATAGAAGAAAAAGCTCATAAAAGAACCATGGGGATGGGGGTAGTAAACTCTGTTGATCTGGATGTCATTGCATAACCTCTAATTACATCACATAAAAAACAATGGCATTAGTTAATTCTAGGAAACTCACACGAAAGCAATTCCCTTCTTTCTTGCCCCAGTCCTGCCTTATTTACGCAATATATACCCTATATAAACAGTTGAGAAAACAAAAACGCAATGACATGTTACGAAAGGAAAGACAATTTAACTACCATCGCCTTCTTACACAGTCTAATGACAAAACAGATGATATCATCCTATACATAACCTGTACAAGGTGAGTACAATTCTCACCTCTATTTGTAGTCAAAAACCCTTCCTTTATCCCAAATACGGATGCAAACAATGTGTCACCAAGTGCCGAAACTGCAGCCTATGTGCTCCTGTGTGATCACATCAAGGCGATTTTTCATAACAGCCATAGAAGGATAAGGTGGTAAGCACAGTCGATAAAAGCAGGTGTGAGATGAAGGAAGTCGATCCTGTTGTTCATGGGACTTATAAATGTAAAGCTTTGAGGCAAAACCACAAAAACCTTCAATTGGAAGATATTTCACTGAGGTCCAAAAGAAGAGAAGCACTTGTCTCTGAGCTGCGGACATCTCCCCAACAATCTGCAAATTTGAGCATGAAACTATTAATTAAAATTAAAAATATAATAGCGCGGCAGCCAAGCCCCTAGAGGTATTGCCTGAATAATTGTTTGGTGGTTTAATTCACAGTTCAAAGACAACAAAGACAGGGTGATCCAGTTATCCAGAACTTCTAAACCACTGATGCCTCTTATCTTTAAGAGAAATTAAGAGAGAAAATCTATACTACTTAACAAAAGATACTTCACTTCCCACCCTGTCAGCTAGAACTGCTGAACAGTGGACTCATAGCTTGGTTTGCAGTTGCCCTTAAAAGCCTTGTCATTCACTATAGGCTTCACTTTGTAATAATTTATGGCATGCCTTAGCTCTTACACATCCTGTTTTGTCACTCTCCCTCTATTATATGCAACCACATAATTATAGTAACTTTAAATTCAAGTTGCGCACAAAGCCTAGCAATCTTATATTAAACAAACTACAACAGGATAATTTTAACAGTGATTGGAATATAGTTCTCCAAGCTAAATGTAAAAAAGAAAATAGCTTTAATACAGTTGTAAATCCAAGTCCTAAATCAGAACTATGTTTTAATAACTGCTGTGGAAAATAGAAGAAAGATTAAACCACAGAGGCATTTGTCCAGCTCAGATAAACCAAAGAATCAAGTACAAATGGTGCAAGGTATACCCAACAGCTAATTTTTTCCAAAAAGGAATATCCACTAGTGAAAACAAATTCATATAACAAAAGTCATAAGCAAGAACTTAAGGGCTTCAAGTACTGACAGAATCACAAAAGAATAATTTAAAGGGAGTAGCATTTCAAAGAAGGCATATCAAGAACATGTAGTAGAAAAGGAACAATCTTAACATACCTTCCAGAACCAGGTTATCTGAGGGTCATTTTCTCTATAGCCATTGTATTCGGTGTATGCCTTCCAATCTTCAATACAAATAGCATTTTCACTTCCATGTAGCATCCAATCAAGATCTTCAAGTTCCAAACTTTGGAAAAAAAACTTCTGGTCTCTTGAGTTGGAAAGAATATCAGCAAATCCTCGTGCGAAATGCTCTACCTGTTCAGAGACAGATGTTACAAATTGATGCTCAATAAGGTGGTCAACATATTCCTGCCTATTTCTGCTATTTACACCAATGCTTTTCCCACCAGGTAGCAGCTCTATAACTTTCCTGGATCCTAACTCCTCGACCTCCCAACTAAAAGTCAGTCCTAAAGCATCTGAATCAATATATTCAGCTTCCATCTCCAGAATCTGCTTGAGGCCACCATATAAACGTGGATCTGCCTCTCTTATATCTTCCAAAGAAATGGGAATTTTGGCCAATTGCAAGAAAAAGACACGATCGAAGACAACACCCAATTGAACTTTGTGCATCAAGGCTAATGCAATCACACGGCCAGCAAAACGGAAATAATCAAGATGCAAGCGATTTACCTTAGATGCTGCACATGGAAGAAAACTCATAAGCAATAGTTATCCTGTGTTATGGATTCATTATGTTTATATAATTTACACTGGATGTTCATTCTACAAACTTAGTAAAAATATAAAGGAAAAAACTCAGTTTTTCAGGATTTCATATTCTCAAGCAACAAACTACAAAAAGAAGTTTTCAGTAGTAGTGGTCCTCAAATTTGAATCGATGCTATAGGTAAAGTCCAATGCATAAGAAGAATTATCATTCTGTATAAAGGTAAGACAACCCAACAATTTTATGCAAATGATAAAATACTCCATGCTCTGAAACTCTCTGTCAGTCCCCTCTCAATGCTTCCATTATAGAGAACAATTAATCAGGTCACAATTTATGAAAACTTGTCTAGTAGCAATATCATGTTTGGAGACAAGGATGATGGCTTTGATTAAATATTGGAGGGAAAGAAATTACCATGTGTTCATGATTGGAAAATTTGTTAAACTTTGATCACCAGTTTGGGGTCTTAGATTCACCAAATAAAGGAAATTATTTTCTTCAGCTGTGAAAGTGCAAGGCACAATCTCAGTTGAGAAGTTGATTGAAGCAGGCAATGTTATATTTTCAGTTTTTTAGCAAGATGATGGTTATGAGGTCAATTGTATTTGGTGATTGTTATCCATGGCAACAAGAGAAGCCAAGCAACAAATCACTTAATTCAAACCCATTGAATGAAGAGGAATAAACAAATATCATAGAATTAGAGAGAAATTTTCAAAGAGCCTCACATTTCTTCCATTGAAGTGTTTGTCCTAGCCCCAAGCTACATGGACCATGACAAATCTATCTTGATATGCAGGACTTAAGATATGAACCCTCTAAAGCTTCACCAGTGATACAAACAGTGCAACATGCAGTATGCACCTATTAAGCTTATTGAAATAAATGATCGGACATTATCAATTAATTATGTCAACATAGCATAGCACAGTTAGAATATTATCTTGCTTTAGTTACTATAATGCTTCTATAAATAACTGTGCCTTGAGTTTCCTCTTGCATGGGGGATTTTTAACACCATTTTGAGTTTCAAAACATATACTTTGCCATGACTGACTAGTTATGATTTAAGTCACACTGACCCCTACACAAACTAATAATCAAAAAGAAACTCCTGAGTCCTCACTCCTCAAAGTAAACCAAGCACAAGCTAATCTGATCAGAGAATAAAACAAAGACTTCTCAAAATTCACCTTTATCACCATTAACCAAAGGAAAATTTTGTCTAAGTGAAAATGATAAGTGATGAATTAAATCTTTCATAATAAGTCTTATCAGCACCATGGGAACCATTAAAACTATGGTAAAATAAGATAACATACTGGACTGAGAATATATTAGCAGCTTGTGTTTCTCCCCTGCCCAAAAACTGTAAAACCATTTTGCTAAGTTACATATTTTAATTGTACCATGTCCAGACACCTATTTACCGCAATCCAGCATAGCAGATGATAAAACTATTTATCATGGGGCACAAACAGCAGTCAAGGGAAAAGCATTCATAAAAACCTGTGCAAGCTTACCAGGATTAGGAAAGAACCTTCTACGATCATTTGGGCATGGCAGAAAAAGGGCAATCTCTGGATTGAAGAGAGCTTGGCATACCAAGAAAAACCATTCCCTCAGCACACCAGGTCCAGTAGCTTCTTCATTTTTGAATTCCATAAATAGACCAGCATGCAGTGCCTCAGGTTCTGCCCGTGCAATGTATTCAAATGATTCTTCCAACAAGTTGGACCTGTCAATAAGCATCTCATGCAACTCATCATAATCTTCCTTAACGTCTGGAAACATCATCATTGCCAAATGCCTCCTAGATTCAAAATCAATTACTTCCTTATGCTCAAGAATCCACCTATGATCATCAATTCGCTTAGCAAATCTAACAATTAAAGCACACAATGCAGACTTTCTATGCTTCAAGACCATCCAAAATCGTTCTTCATCACCGCTATAGAGTTTTGAAATGCCATTGAGTTCCTTCAAGATGGCAAGATACTGCAACCACCCACAGGGAGCACTTTCAGCTCCCCCATTAACTTTCACAGCCAAACACTCTTCCACTCTAGCAAGGCAATCATCTATATTATTCATCAAATTATTAAATATGGCATGAAGGTGATCAAGCTCCTCACAACCCCTCTTCTGCGACTGAATAGCCTTGGGAGCCTGAAATCCTGCTCGGTTAATAGCAGTCCGCAAAGGGCTCAAAAATGACGAAAAATCACGCACATCATTTGATGATGGCCCTGTGCCACTTCCCGTGCCCGCAGCTGACCCTATACTTGACTTCATATCCTGACACAACCTGTCAGCCAATTCACTGACAAACGGGAAAATCTCTTGAATCACAAGCAGGCCTTCACCCTGCTCCCCATGCTTCAACCCCCTCGTGCTGCTGTCAGCACTCTCTAACAGGAACCCCAGAGTACTCCGGCAAAACTTATATAAATTATCCTTATCCTTGTCCTTATCCTTATCCTCATTGACAACCTTCCTAAGCAGCTTGCAAAACTCTAATACCATAGGCGTGCAATAACTATGCAGATGTTTTGATAATGAAGTTTTACATGAATTTAGGAACAGTTTAATGGAAGTCTCTGCACACCTTCTGTTTTCATCAATTGGAGACATATAGAGCGTCACCAGAAACACCGGGGCTGACGAGACCATAAATATCTGCAAATGAGCAGTGGCGGACTCATTATCGTCCTTGGGCACCAGATTGAAGAATTTCTGCACGCCATCCTTAACGTACTGTAGATTACAAGGGGACAGGTCGCCTCGGCATAGGCGACGAATGGCGGAGATCATGTCGTCAATGGCTTGCCAGGCCTGGGGGTGGTTGGTGGACCGCATACGGCCGACAAGGTGAAGGCCGGCGTCGTTTTGAATTTCACAGTCCGCAAGGGACTGCTCCCACTGCAGCTGTTTGCCGCGATAAATAAGGCGCTGCTCGTACACAGGAATTCCAGTCATCACGTGAATCCTCTCGTGGAGGGATTTCACAGTATCCTCCGAATTGGCATGGATGACGATGGTATTCCCCTCGGAGATCATCCGTATAAAGAATTGGAGGCGGGAGGAGGAACAAGTCGCCGACGAAGAAGGAGCACTGGACGAGGAAGCACAGTAATTAAAGGAATCGGAGGCAAGGTCAGAGGCGTCGCCATCGGGCGAAGAACGGAGGTTGTCGATTGGGCGATTGGTGTGATGGTGATGATCGTCCTTTCGCATTCTGTGGGTTAACGAAGAGTCATCACCGTCTTCGTCTAAGGTAGGGGCGTAATCATCAAACTTTCGCTTGGTGGAGAGGCGGGGATCGTGGCCGTTGGTTATGGGATCAACGGCGGAGAAATGGTGGAGAGACATTGGACGGTGGGGAGCCCCAGCCGGCTACGGTTGGGGTGCAGACATGGGATCCTCGGCCGGAACAGACGACGGAAACAAAACCCTAGCTATAGTGGCGACGACTGAATGT